CGGGGTGGCTGTGGGCTGGCTGGCGCTACACCGCGAAGGGCAGGTTGACATGTCAGGGAAAGGACCTGCTGGACGTGCGTGCGGCAGCGCAGTTTCCACCTATGCTCCCTTATCCCCCTCGCCGGTCTCACAAATGGCCGTTGTTTCCCCGCAGCAGACTGATTCCGAGTGGCGTGTTCGTCGCGCTGTCTCTCTCGCACCTGTACGCGACGCCCCAGAGAGACGTGGCGAGGGAAACGACTTTGGGAATCGCAGTGTGCTAGTGCACTCTTAGACGACCATGCAGGAACCGAATGAGCGAGTGTGTGTGATTATGAGTGTGTGTGTGTGTGATGGCCTTGCGGCGCGCGCAATTACCTTTGATTCACTTTGTATGCAAAGGGAGAGAGAAAAGGGGGGAGGGGGGCTTCCGCACTGCAAAAAGCCAAAACAGCTCGTCCGTGGCGGAGGCCCGTAGTCCGCGTGCGCGCGGCGGCAGCTAGTTCAACCGGACAGTACGAAGGCGCGCGCCGCGCGCATTATTAGCCTCTTACATTTGCATGCTGTCACCGGCCGTTTTCGGCTGTCACCGGCCGTTTTCGTTTTTGGCTTTAGCTCTAGCTTGGCCTAGTGTAATCGGCGCCCTGGCGGTGGCAGGGCTGCCGTTGCAGCTGCGCTGTGACCCTTCGGCCTTCGGTCGTGGGCACTGACGGCACACACCTGTGGAGCGCCGCGGTGTGCTACAGTGTGCCCGCCAGGCTGAGGCCTTTTTCGCGGCACACTGTAATCAACGTGCATCTCATGACGCTACTGTGTGCGCCACCGCGCCGCTTCCCGCCTCGCGTCACTCACAGTGCGGGAGAACATTTATTGCGCGCACGGAGGCGGACAAAGTCCCGGACGCGTTTTGAGCTCCAGAGTCGCTAAAGCCCAACCGGCAGCCCGTCAAAGTAACGTGCCCTTTTTATTGGACACCAGAGATTTACTTGCCGTTTTGAATGTCTGTCTGTCTGCCTGCCTGTCCGTTGGGCTGCCAGGACGGCAGTGTGGCGGCATCTTTGAGCTTCGCGTTGTAAATGTCGGACACAGTTGCGGCGCGATTCGAAGCGCGATGCTAAGCAAAGCGAAGCAAAGAGGCTCCGAGAAACGGTCACGGCTTGGTGGTGCCAAACGTGCAGTCTACCTGTCTGCCTGCCAATCTGTCTGTCTGTCTGTCTGTCTGTCTGTCTGTCTGTCCGTCCGCCCGTTCGCCCTGGCCCTGCCCTGACCTTTGGCATGAGGACCACACGAGTCTGGCGACAGGGAGGCGCCTACGCCACAGGCGGCCATAGGCCGTTCCGTCGTTCCGGGTGAGGGGGAATACAAAGGGGGAGGGGGAGGGCGTTTTTAGACCCCGAGGATATCTTTGCCTTTTCCGCGGGAGTCTAGCGGCAGCCCTTTTCGCTCGTAAAGGAAGGGGGATAGGATTGGAGAGAGGGAGAGAGGGGGGGGCAGTGGAGGGGGCACACGCTGGGGGTCTTGGTCTGGGTCTGGGGCTCCTGGTGCACATGGCTGGCTTCCGCGGGCCTGGCTGGGGCCCTTCGGTTCGGCCTGGGGCCCTACGGGGCCCTACGGGGCCCTCCACGGCGAGACTGGCAACATTTCGTTTTCGGAAAAGGCGGAAACGCGCAATTAAAGTTATACCACCGCGAGCGATTAAAAATGGAACTGGGGCACGCACAAGTCACGCGCGTGAGCGGCGCGTGAGGACAGCCGGGGCCGCGCAGTCGGTCAAAAGGCGGCCCCGCACAGTGGGCCAGAAGACCGGTGGAGGCGGCCAAAACTCAAGACGCGTTTTGAGCTCCAGAGTCGCCTTAAATCGAACGTGTGACTCCACGAATGGGTTCCTCGTTCGCAGAGCAATCCATTGGTGGGTCTACACGTTCTGCTCGAGTCCTGTTTAGCTACTCTGGAGCTCAAAATGCGTCTCGAGTTTTGGCCCCTCCTAAGAATCTCCCCGGCTGCGTTGAGGCACGTCGAGGCGGATACTGGAAAACGAAAAGCAAGGAAATGAACCGCCTAACGAATTTTCCATCTGTGATTGGTTATTATTTTTCCCTTCTGTTTATGCCTCGTTCTCTTTTTGTGTGACTGTCGAGCCGGAATTACAGCGCACGAGAGAGAGGGAGAGAGAGAGAGAGGGGAGAGAGAGAGAGAGAGAGAGAGAGAGAGAGAGAGAGAGAGAAGGGGGAGGGTGGCGGTCGTAAACGAGTGCCGGCGCCCCTCTGACGCGGCGGGCGGGCGGGGCGGCGTCACCACGACCCTACACCCTACGACCCTTACGGTAGGGCCTGTTCGGCCGGCCTGTTCCAGCCTGTTCCAGCCGTTGTCGTCTCTGGGCGCCATTCCGGCCGGAACCAGGTCACGCCGAGGCGACGCACCGCGCGCAGCACCACGTCGTCGCACAGTGTGCCAGAAGACCGGTGGAGGCGGTGCAAACTCTTGACGCGTTTTGAGCTCCAGAGTCGCTGAATGGGACTCGAACCGAACGTGTGACCCCACCAATGGATTGCTCTCCGAACGAGGAATCCATTGGTGGGGTCACACGTTCGGTTCGAGTCCTGCTTAGCGACTCTGGAGCTCAAAACGCGTCTAGAGTTTGGGCCGCCTCTACCGGTCTTCTGGCCCACTGTGCGTCTAGTCGTTGGTGACGGGCAGGGTGTCGAGGGTGTTGGAGGGGAGACGGCTCAGGCTCTGGAGGGCGCCTGGGGCTTGTGCGCTCGCTTGCGCGGGCTGCGCGGGCTGCCAGCAGGCTATAAGTGACGCCCCTGCCTCCCTTCCAGCAATCACGGGTCGTAATTGGCGGAGCAGGGCCCTGGAGGAAGTCCCGCACGGGGTCCTGGACGAGGTCCTGGACGTCCTGATGGAAAACCTCTCCGTCTGATCTCCCTCCACACGCGCTCAACAGCCGGGAAATTGTGGAGGGGGGGCGCCACCATCTTGGCCAGTAGGGCTTAAAGTGGCTGCGATCGGTGCGAGGGAGCAACAGCGCCGAATTCAAAACAGTCTCTCTCTCTCTCTCTCTCTCTCTCCCTCCCTCTCTCTCCCTCTCTCTCTCTCCCTCTCTCTCTCTCACTAACACTCGAGAGAGACCGGTAGCGCTGAATGTATTCCGCGATGCAGATTGTTTCGGCGACGCGAATTCCGTGCATGAATTTGAATGGCGTTGGCGGTGCAGTGCCTTGCGGTGCAGTGGGCGCGTGGTCGTGGTGGAGCCTCGCGTGAGGGCTGCATGTCGCTGGCCACCGCACTGTCGCCTTGTCTCTCTCTCTCGCCCCATGAGTGCGAGAGAGACAGGGCGACGAGAGCCGCTCGGAGGCAGCCGACCTGCGGGTCGCGTAGCGCCACCCGCCGCACCCCTTCGCGCCGCCCTCTCTCTCTCTCTCTCTCTCTCTCTCTCTCTCTCTCTCTCTCTCTCTCTCTCTCTCTCTCTCTCTCTCTCTCTCTCTCTCTCTCTCACCCCTCGGGCGCCGGGGACGCAGGTCGCGTGCCCTCGGCTGTTTACGCGTGTTGCGTTGCGTTGCCACGGCGACGGCGAAGGGAAGGGGGGGGGGGGGGTGACGCCGCGGACGGGTTGACATGTCTCTATCTCCGCCGGGGCGGCAGGTGCACTGGCTGAATCGCGATCCTGCGGTCGGGAGACTCCGTTCCATTCGATACTAATGTTGGATTGGAATTTTAACTGGAAAATTTACTCCTACCCCTCGCCCCTTTGATACGCGAGCGCTTTTGGTGATTTTAGCTGTCTGTCTGTCTGTCTGTCTGTGTGTCTGTCTGTCTGTCTGTCTGTCCGTCCGTCCGTCGCTGTCTGTGTCCGGTCTGCCTGTCGTTGGTCCGGACACTGTGGCGGCGTTCTGGCGCCAGGCTTCGCCCGCTTCGCCGCTCTGCCAGGCCGCTGGTACGGAAGTCGCCGTGTGTTTGACGTGTTCCGACCGCGCCCCGCCCCGCCCCACGGAGGGTGCCTGCCTGTTATGCCGAATATGTTTACTCGGACAACACTGCGGCCCGCTCGGCGCCGATAAGATGCGTCGGGCTGCTGCTGCTGGCCGGAAAAAAAAAAGCGGCCCTCGGCGGGAATCGAACCGGCGACCATTAGTGCAGCGCTCCCCCTCCCTGCCCCTGTGGTTCAGATCCGATACACTGCAAGGGCACTCGATGCCCCCCCCCCTCTCCTTGGAGGATTCTGGTCCTGGCAACTGATCCGATGATCTAGTTCCGCAGTGCAGACCAATCGCAAGCCGGCCGCAACATTTCTGGGGCACGACTGCAGCAGATGCATCGATAACCTGCCAAAATTATTATTTCCATCATCATTGTTTTCACGATTATTTTTTTTTCCGAAACTTGGTTGTGCGTAAACAAGTGCAGTGCCCCAGAAATGAAGGTGCAACCAAAACCGCCAGCAGTGGCAGCTGGAAGTGAAAGTGTCTCTGCTCCACCGGAACTGACGACGCTCTTCCGGCGAAGCAACAATGACCCTCGAATTGGAGAGAGAGAGAGAGAGAGAGAGAGAGAGAGAGAGAGAGAGAGAGAGAGAGAGAGAGAGAGAGAGAGAGAGAGAGAGAGAGCGCGTAGGCGCCTGCGAATGCAGGAATACAGTAATGACAGAGTGCGATCGGGCAGATCGCAGTGTAGCAGTGCAGCCAACCTGCAATTTGACGGTGCTGGCAGTGCTGCGCAGTGCTGCCACCGGTCGGCCTGGGGGGTCGGCACGTGTTGCCAGCCTGACGGCCGCCCGTCCCACACTGTAGACGCGTTTTGAGCTCCAGAGTCGCTGAACAGGACTCGAACCGAACGTGTGACCCCACCAATGGATTGCTCTCCGAACGAGGAATCCATTGGTGGGGTCACACGTTCGGTTCGAGCCCATTTAACGACTCTGGAGCTCAAAACGCGTCTAGGATTTTGGCCGCCTCCACCGGTCTTCTGGCCCGCCCAGTTTGAACGCCTCTAAAAGCAGCTTTGCCTCTCCCTGTCCGCAGGAGGGCATGCAGCAGTGCCCCTACCTGCAGGAAATGAAGGAGCGACTCGTCCTGCAGGGAGCCGACCCGGAGCAGCTGCTGCTCGTCACCACGAAGACCATCAAGACCGTCAAGACCATGGACAAGGACGTCCTGGAGGTGCACCAGGACCCCGCCGTGGGCACGGTCGTCAAGGTAAGCGAGGCGGTCAAAGTCCTGGATGAGTTTTCAGCTCCAGAGTCATCTAAATGGGACTCTAACCGAACCTGTGACCCCACCAATGGATTCCTCGTTCGGAGAGCAATCCATTGGTGGGGTCACACGTTCGGTTCGAGTCCCACTTAGCGACCCTGGAGCTCAAAACGCGGCTGGAATTTCGGCCGCCAGCCTCTGTGCGCCTGCGAAGTCCCGGGTAGGCAGCACCGCAACGCTCTGGTGCGTTGCGGCGCCGTCTGTTCGGCATTACCATTACCACTAAGGGCTAGACCACGGCTGCTTCCTCCTTGCTAACCGAAGTTTGGTCGGCAGCTGAACGCTGGCGGCTACGGGCAGCACACCTCGCCGGCACACATCCCCCTCATCAGCCGGGAGCCGCGCGCCCACGACCACACCATCCCCAAGAACGCCAAGTAAGTCGCTGCGGACTGTCCCGCGCCTCGCCGCCGACGCGCGGCCCGCGCCTCGGAGTGCGCCCTGCCGGAGGCGTTTCAAATGTCGCCCCTGATTTACTAGCCTTATCGTGTGGCCTCGCATCGAATGACGGCTCCCGAGTCCGTCCCACTGCAGTGCACTGCCGTCCCAGGAGGGCCGCCAGACCGCCACCACGTACACTCCCGTCCCAACGCCACGAGCTAAGGCAGCGGTTTTTTAAATTTAAAAATTTAAATTTTTTTGTGAAAAATTTTAAAAACTTGGTTTGTTTTTCAGTGTACCTGCTCCTCGGCAAAATTTATCAGGATTTCAATCAGGAAATTCCTGATTGGTCAATCAGGATAATTTCTGATTGGAACATCCTGATGTTTTTTCGCGCACCTCTGATTGATTATTTCTGATTGGTACCAGTTCTGATTGACTATTTCTGATTGTGTTTTTTTCTGAGTGGACAGTTCTGATTGGTAAGACAACTTCAAACATCGGTAATATGACCATGCCGGGGCACATTCAAAATTGATGATAACTTCTCTGGGGGGTCAAAACTGAGTCCGATCCAAATCTGAAGTCCGATTTTCGATATCTCGTGATCAGGCCTCGATATGCTACTGAAGATGATGCGATGTGCATGAAATTAAAATGGCCCTAGTCAAATCGGCTGAACATGTCACATACCAAATTTGAAACCGATATCGCAAATACTTTCCATTTTATAGGCATCTGTACTTTGACACCATCAAAATTTTCTGATGTTCTTTTCTGATTTCTGAGCGGCAATCAGCAATCAGAAAAGCACTCAGAAATTTTCTGATTGCCAATCAGAAATCAAATATCAGGAAATTTCTGATTGGCACTCAGACATCAGAAATCAGGAATTTTCTGATGTCGGTACTCATTCAGGATTTTTTCTGATTGACAATCAGAAATCAGAAAGAATTCCTGATTGACAATCAGAAATCAGAAAGAATTCCTGATTGACAATCAGAAATCAGAAAGAATTCCTGATTGACAATCAGAAATCAGAAAATCAATCAGGAAAATCCTGATTTCTGATTGGAAATCAGAAATTCAATCAGAAAATCCTGATGGCATTTACACCGGTGGGATTGCCTCCGAAGCAGTGTACCGAAGTGACGGCGTGTGTAAACCCAGGGCGGCGGGATATTTTGAGCGGCAGAGTGGTGGAAGGCGGGGGTTTCGCTCTGGAGACGCGGCGTCGAGTCCGCCGCGGGGTCAAAGGTCGAGCAGGGCATGAACATGGACCAAGTGGCCTGCTATCCATCACGTGCTTAAGGCAAGTCGCGGACAAGACTTCGGAGGACGTCTTGGCGCACTTCCCTTCGCCGTCCGTCTGTCTGTCTGTCTGTCTGTCTGTCTGTCTGTCTGTCTGTCTGTCTGTCTGTCTGTCTGTCTGTCCGTCCGTCCGCAGGATGCGAGTGAATGGGACATGGAACATATGTCGTCGCCATGGGCTTCGCCGTGCGAGCCTCTCTCTCGCACTCGCGGGGCGCCCCGGACCAATCCCCGACGGGTGCGAGAGAGACAGAGCCACGCTCGGAGCCTCCGTGCGCCCACGGGAGAAAACGCAGTGGAGGCGGCGACGTTGGCCACTCCATTGAACGGCTGCCAACACGCCGTGCATGCGAGGCGCGAGGTTCGAACTCGGACCGCGCCCAGAAGGGCCTGTCGTCCACGTAGCCTCCTTTCTGGCCGGGCCGCGCTGGGTCCGCGCGAGGGCCGGGAGGAAGGCGCGGTCCCAAAAGTGCGCTGAAATTGAATGACGTTTCGAAATGCGCGTGGAAAACTCCTACGTGCAGACGGCGCACACGGCGTCGGCCACCTCGGGGAGGGGGAAAAGGGGGGGGGGAGGATGCAGTTCCAGCTATGCATTCTAAGGGACCGCCAAGCCGGGCCCCCGCCCCCCCCCCCCCCTACTGCGAGATGCCTTTGGTGACTCGTCTAAAACATCTTGATAGTAAACCCGGTGTGTGTGTGTGTGTGTTTCCTGAATGTGTTAAGACAGCCGCCGCGGCGTGTCGCTACCCCGGATCCTTCCTGTTGATCCTGCCCGGGCGGTCCGGACTGGCCAAACAGCGTTAACAATTCAGCGTGGCTTTGGCGGGTCCGGTGGGTACACTGCAGGCCCTGCAGGGGCTCGCGACCCGTCCACTGTAAGTAAGGCTGCACCCCGCCGAGCTATTTTCGCGATCGTTGACGAGCGCGTGGCTGCGCGTGGCCTGGAGCAGTCGGTCGCCGAGTGGGAGAGAGAGAGAGAGAGAGAGAGAGAGAGAGAGAGAGAGAGAGAGAGAGAGAGAGACGGCCTCGGTCAACGCTCTTTGCGTAGCGCGGCACTCGAGTGCAAGGCAATGCAAAATGTTTTTATTTAGGGATTTGAAAATTGCAATATTGGAGCAGGCAGGGCTTGCGCCGCGTGTCTCTCTCGCACCCTGGCGGGTCGCCCCGCGAGTGCGAGAGAGACGGGACGACGAGAGCCTCTAGTGGCTGGCGTGCTCGTGCTAAAAGGGGTGCACCGCACTCGACGCGGTGTGTAGAGTTTAGAATGCAGACCACCGAGCCTTTCGACCAGCCGGCAGTGTCCGCATCATGGAGTATCTCTCTCTCTCTCTCTCTCTCCAGATTCAGACCGCGTGTGCCGCGAGGCCTAGCTGTCAGCTGTTTGACGCCCTCCGAAGGGCCCACGTCCAAGCGGGTGGCGGCGGCAGAGAGAAAGAGAGAGAGAGAGAGAGAGAGAGAGAGAGAGAGAGAGAGAGAGAGAGAGAGAGAGAGAGAGAGAAGAGAGAAAGAGAGAGAGAGAGAGGAGAGAGAGAGAGAGAGAGAGAGAGAGAGGAGAGAGAGAGAGAGAGAGAGAGAGAGAGGAGGGGGATCAACAGGAGAGCCAGACCCCCGCACGCTGGACCGCTTCGATCGATACCCCAGCATGCTCCGCGTTCGCCCCTTCACAGACGGACGGACAGACAGACAGACATTCAGACAGACAGACAGGGGCTGAGCGGCCTGCCAAGCACGTTCTTTCAAAATTAGCTCTGCAAGACTTCCTCTTGTAGTTCCTGTTTTCTATTTTCGATCCTCGCCATCACCTGTTCCCACGGGACTTGGTTTGGAATGGGATGAGCTGACGACGGAGACGTCCGTTCGGTTCGCCGTCCGAGTGGTGCTAGGCTGCGCGGTCTTTTCCTGGAACGCTGCAACCCGGCGTGTCGGCGGTTCAAGCGTGGGGTATGTCCGACGCGCGGGCCGGGCGGGCCGGCAGGGGGCGGTCGCGGGGTATCGCCACCGCGCCGGGCCGCCGACCGGCAGTTCCGGTGGCGTTCCAGGAGAGGCCGCCTGGAGCGCTGGAGCGGCGGCAGCACTGTTGGGCGGCTGGAGCGGCGTGGAGTATCTCCGGTGAAAGGCCCCGCCCGACGCGCGGGGTATCGCCGCGGACCACGGCGCCACTCGCCACTTCACTTGTGGAGCGTCTCGTCTCGTCTTGTTGTTGCGGGGTTGCGCACAGTGGGCCAGAAGACCGGTGGAGGCGGCCGAAACTCTAGACGCGTTTTGAGCTCCAGAGTCGCTGAATGGGACTCGAACCGAACGTGTGACCCCACCAATGGATTCATCGTTCGGAGAGCAATCCATTGGTGGGGTCACAAGTTCGGTTCGAGTCCCATTTAGCGACTCTGGAGCTCAAAACGCGTCCAGCGTTTTGCCGCCTCCACCGCTCTTCTGGCCCACTGTGCCCCGTAGGGCTGCGAGAGAGACGGTCTTCTGCCCCGGCCAGTTTATGAGGCACGCCTCAAACGGCCGCACTGACCATTAGCTAGGCCTTCTCTGTCTCCGTCGCACTCGCGGGCCGCCCCAGTCGTCTTGCAGTGTGTGAGAGAGACAGAGTCCGGAATCGCTCCGCTGATGAGCCTCTCTATTAGTGTGTCGTCAGCCTAATGCGCTCGTTGGCTTCCCGTTTGACCCGTCGCGGTCTGTCTCTCTCGCGCCCCCGCGAAGCCACGCCTAGCAACGCCAAGCGCCCACGGAGCCTGGGGTGCGAGAGAGAGAGAGAGAGAGAGAGAGAGAGAGAGAGAGAGAGAGAGAGAGAGAGAGAGAGAGAGAGAGAGAGAGAGAGAGAGAGAGAGAGAGAGAGGAGAGTTTGGGAGGGACTCGCGAAAGCGGTTGAGAGGGGTAGTGCACCCCTTCGGGACGCCCCGTGAGTGCGAGAGAGACGGAGCCACGATGCACTGTGCGGTACGGTTGGCCACCGCATTTCCTAGGGGTGCCGCCGAGGCCCTGCTAGACTCGTTTCCGCTTCCGGCCGGGCCGTCACACTGCTAGTGCCAGGCGAAAGGTAGCGGCCTGCACGGGTCGGTTCATTGGCAGGCATAGCGAGGCTCCATTATGGGTGCCAACATTACGCATGCAGAGTGCGCCGTTAAGTCTCTCGTGTGTGTGTATGTGTGTGTGTGTGCGTGTGTGTGCGTGTGGCGCCAGCCAGTGGCGGACAGGCGCCAGCCATTTGCGTTTTTTGGTCGTGAGCCGGCAACTCGTTAGCTTCGATACATGAAGCCCCCCCCCCCTCCTCCTCACTTATGAGGGCAAGGGACACATAAGGAAGTAGCCAGGCGGTGGGGGAAGGGGGAGGGAGACACTCTCGGACTCATCAACGCCCCCTTGTGCCCCGCTGCAGTCCAACTTTGTAAGTCAGTGTACCGACCGCCAGGGGCAGTTGCAGTGTAGTGCAGTGCGTGAGCCCACCAATGGCTTCCTCGTTCGGAGAGCAATCCATTGGTGGGGTCACACGTTCGGTTCGAGTCCCACTTAACGACTCTGGAGCTCAAAACGCGTCTAGAGTTTTGGCCGCCTCCACCGGTCTGCTGGCCCACTGTGAGGCGCCATGCTACGCACGCGCTACTCTTAGTTTTACTAGTGTCCTTTCCGGAGTCCCCGTTGCCCCACCTGCAGCCTCCTCACCTCGTGCCCTTGCGAG